ACTGTGTCTTTTGCCCTGCAAAAGCTTCTCAGTTTCGAGAGGTCCCATTTATTAATTGTTGTGCTCAGGGTCTGTGCTGTTGGTGTTTTATTTAGGAAATGGTCTAAATTGGTGCCAATGCGTTCAAGAGTGCTTCCTACTTTCTTTTCTTTTCTTTCTTTTTGGTTTTTTGAGACAGGGTTTCTCTGTGTAGCTTTGCGCCTTTCCTGGAACTCACTTGGTAGCCCAGGCTGGCCTCGAACTCAGAGAGATCCACCTGGCTCTGCCTCCCGAGTGCTGGCATTAAAGGCGTGCGCCACCACCGCCCGGCCAAAGAGTTTGTTTCTTATTCTCTGTGGTGGTTTGAAGAAAATGTCCCCCAAAGAGAATGGCACTATTAGGAGGTGTGACCTTACTGAAGTAAGTATGGACTTGTTTGAGGAAGTGTGTCACTCTGGGAGTGGGCTTTGGGGTCTCTTTGCTCAAGCTTTGCTCACTGTGATACACAGTTCACTTCATGTTGCCTGCATATCAAGATGTAGCTAGCACTATGTCTGCCTGCACACCATCATGCTCCCTGCCATGATGATAATGAACTAAACCTCTGAAACTAAACTACTACTTCAATTAAATGTTTTCCTTTATAAGAGCTGCTGTGGTCATGGTGTCTCCTCAAAGCAATAGAAACCCTAACTAAGACACCCTCCTTTGACAATAACCATATTAGAATGAAAAAACCCACTTCTAAGGATGTGCCCAGGCTATATGTGTAATTTGAGATTCCACATTAATAAAGTATGCATTTGGTTCAATGTCCATCAGTTTGTTTATATTCAACTTCTTTTTGAGACAAGATCTTAGTACCTAGCCTTGGCTGCCCTTGTACTTGCCATGTAGACCAGGCTAACTTCAACTCACAGAGGTCTGCCTGCCTCTGACTCCTAAGGGCCAGGATTAAATGTATGCACCACCACACCTGGCTCTATATTCAACTTTTAAAGTGTTTATCTCCTTTGTCCAATTTGGTTTTAATTGTCAACTTGACACAGCCTAGAGACATCTGACATGAAAGTCTTGATTGAGGAGTTGCCTAGAAAAGATTGGTCTATGCACATATCTGAAAGGGAGGTGGGAGGGTAACACTGATTATTAACTGATGCAGGAGTGTTGTGAGATGTCTTTCTGTATGCTGTGAATATGTGTCATTCTGATTGGTTGACAGATAAAGCCATTTGGCCTATGGCAAGGCAGCTTAGAGGCAGGCGGGAATCCAAACAGATAGACAGGAAGAGAAAGGAGAGGCAAAGCAGACGCTGCCAGCCACTGCCAGGAGAAGCAAGATGTAAAGTACCAGTAAGCCAGGAGCCACATGGCAAAGTATAGATTTATAGAAATGGGTTAGTTTAAGATATAAGAGCTAGTTAGCAAGAAGCCTGCCATGGCCATAATTTAAAAATAATATAAGCCTCTGTGTGCTTATTTGGGTCTGAGCAGCCACCGGACTGGGCAGGACACAGGAAAACTTCTGGCTACACAGGAGGGCCCAGCTCGCTGTCAGCAGCAGCATCCTGAGGCAGGTGGTTCTTGACTGTATAAGAAAGGCATGAGTCTGAAATCAAGCCATCAAGCCTGGTTCTCCTCAAGACTTCTGCTTCAAATTCCTGCCCCATTTGAGTTCTCGCACTGGCTTCCTTCAGTGATTGTTTGTGACCTGGAATTATTAACCAAATAAAGTAAATCCTTTTCTTTGCCTACGGAGCTTTTGGTCACAGTGGTTTACAAAAACAACCAGGAGGAAACTGGATCACCCTTCCTTGTAATCTTTCATGAGTTTTTGACTTACTGTTCCACTTTTATTTGCAAATACATGTATGGCTATGTAATGTTTTTTTTTTATTTCCTCCTTTTCCAAGGAGCTTACTCCAAGGCTTACTCCAACCATAAAATAATTTTCATTGCTACTTCATAACTATAATTTGCTACTGTTAATGAATTATAACATAAATATTTTTAGAGATAGAGGTTTGCCAAAGAAGTTCTGACTCACAGATTGAGAACCATTACTCTAGAGCAAATACATCCAGAAGTTTTGTAGGCAGAGGCCATTTGGCTTAAATGCATTATAACTTTCTCCCTAAAGAAAATAGTTTTCAGTAAGTCCTAAAATGTACAGGATGACTAGCCAGCTTATTCTCTCTGGGATGCATTCAAAAGAAGAAAAGCCAAGGATACAGGCATACATTTGAATTTTCTACCTTTAAACAAAATCAATGGTTTTGAATTATCTTATTAACATACTTTGGTCTATTTGGTAAAGTCTAGAATATGTCCCTGAGAGGAAAACTTATCTTCTACCAACTTAGTTTCCAAATTAGCTTCATAGTTGGTTTTCTAAAGCTTAACAGGCCAATAAGAAAATGGCATATTGCATACACGTCAGCACATTCTACATGGAACTCTTTAAAAGAGCTGGGTCAAGGAACTGGAGAGATAGCTCAGAGGTTAAGAGCATTGACTGCTCTTCCAGAGATCCTGAGTTCAATTCCCAGTAACCACATGGTGGCTCACAACCTTCCATAACGAGGTCTGATGCCCTCTTCTGGTGTACATGCAGACATGCAGATAGAATACTGTATACCTAATAAATAAATAAATCTTAAAAAGAAAATAAAAGCCAGATTAAGGTAAGAGTGGTGTGTGTGTGTGTGTGTGTGTGTGTGTGT